TCGGGTGCGGCGGGCGACCGGCCCCGGCGGACACGTTCTTCCCGGCGGCCCCCGAGCTGCCGTCGCCGGAGCCCGCGGCCGACACGTCCACTGTGGAGTAGCCGGCCGAGGAGTGCATGAGGCCGGACGGGTGCCCGCCCAGAGCCGCGGCGGCCGCCGAATGCGCCATGATGTTGCGGCACTGGCTGGCTGCAGTGGCCGCGGCGAAGTTACTGCTCCCCACCAGTCCCTCCATGTTCTTGTTGAGGTCGTCCAGGTTGTTGTCATACACGAACATCACCGTTTCCGCTGGCCAGCGAGGATTGAGGACCAGGGAGGCGGTCATAGGCGCTGCTGTTCCCGGTCTGCCCTCTCCGCTCCTCTCCGTCTCCTTTCAGCGCGGCTCCGGTTCCTGCTGCGTGGACTGAGTGAGGTGCACTGCTGTGGGTTTTACTCCTCTCTCACTCTCTCTCTCTTTCTCTCTGCTGTCCACGAGCACACGGAGCAGGTCATTCACACGCACCTTCACGCGCACCTCCGTGAATCATTGAGTGACGGCACTCGGTCAAAGGCAAAGACTTTGGGGGGAGAAACCAGCCGGACCTCGGGTTACATCCCCGCCGCAACCTTGACGCAACAAGCCCCCAGGCCCGGGAAGAGAGGGAGGCTGCGTGTCCATTGGATGACAGCGAATGACCACGTGATGGGACGGGGGTAGCGGGGGGCGGAGGGGGGGGGCTCCTTGTCCTCTGTCAATCACAGAGAACGGTTTTATGAGGCTGGAGCGGTGGCACGAGATGATGTGGTCCACGGTCCTCGTTGACTGGTATCAAATGCATAAGAAAGAGGGTTTTTTTTCCTGGTCATAAAAATGTTCCAATATCACAATAATCCTGAATTAATAATCTGTTCTGACAGAAATCAGACTAAATATAAAACTATTTATTTTTTCCTCTGTTCTGATTTTTGACTAATGAGCAGCGAAGATGAAGATTTGGAGAAATTCGGATTTTAAACAAGTCTGAACATCTGCAAAGTCCCTGTGTCTGGGAGAGTTAGAGAAAAAAACTGTCTTAAAATGAAATTAATTATAATAATTCCATTAATACATTTAAAGTTTTCAGTTTATTTCAATAAAATGTAATAACCTCGGTGACTGGGTGATGTTGGTGTGTCGGCTGTGTTTTCATCACACATTTATGTCTCGTCTTAATGTGTGTGGAACACGATCGACTCTGACCTACGATCACCGTCGTCACATCTGTAGAACCGACTAGTTCGGTATTTAAATCGTCGATTCTAATTCTGATTTTAAATTTTCTGTCTGTCTGGATAATTTGTGTGACGTCACCGTTAACCAGTGACAGTGATGAACACGAACACTGTATATGAATATTTTTTTGTTGTTGCGTATGAATCTTTTTAACCATATTATTTTATAATTACTAGTCAGAAAACAAAATAAGTTGTGACGTCATCCATCTCTTTGACATGTTGTGGTTCTAGTTGTTTTTTTTAAATCTGTATTTGAATAAATCACGCACGGCCGCAGGTGAGTTAAAAAGATTCAGATTCTACTGGTCCTCCTGTGGATCTGATCCAGATTTCAAACAAAAACTTTTGTTCTGTGTACTTTAAAAAAAAAAAAAACACACCGTGTACTTTCTCCACAAATATCTGTCTCTGTCAGTATGACCAATATCTAAATCCAGCAGCACAGACGGAAAGATGAAGTAATACTACAACCAGTACTCACAGGTGAAAATCATCTGATCCAAACGGGAGTCTCTCCCCGGTACTTCTAAAACGGCCCAAAAGTGAGGGTCGGGACCCCCGAAGACAAGAGAACAGAACGACCGTGTGAACATTTGAGTGTTTTTTTTTTTCCATTTCTATGAAGTTATATTTTTGTTTTTTTGAAGCAGAAAAGACTGAACATCAGCGACTGGACTGATACACAGTCACACTGGATTTATCTTAATTAATAAAATCATATTTAAAAAAAATTAAAACATTATAGAAACAGTCATTGTAACAATTATTTAGAGTCAAATTTTCGAAAAATAAATCTACTGAATTGCCAAACATTAGGTCTTTATATCAGTGTTATCAAATCACACACGTACATATATACACAAACACACACATATAAATATATACATAAATACACATATATATGGATTTAAGGAAGTGCAATAAATAAAAATATATATTCCCTATATTTATTTAATACCCAATGACGACGCATGTGTAATTTATAATTATAATTCTATCCTGACTTAATTTGATGTTTTTAAACTAATTTCTACTATTTATTTTTTAATCTACTATTTATTTTTTAAATAAATATATATATATATATATATAAATATTATTTGTACTCTTTAGATTTTCATTTGTTGCGTTTATGTGTGAGAACCACATTTTACAGCTGAACTTCTGTCTGGACGGAACCGGAAGTCCTGTCGAAGTGTCCGCGGACTGAAGATGTCGGACACAAACGACAACAGAATATATATATAAAACAACAAACATATACAGTCAACAACAACGCACTGGTCTGGGGAAGAAATAATATGCAACATGACAGGAGACATGACGTCACCAATTTGCCAACTGCGGAGCTCACAGACGCGCAAAAAGCGCGCGCACGCACTCACGCACAGAGGCCGACCAGACAGACAGTCTCTCTCCTGTCGTGTGGTCTGTCCGGGAAAGAGAGAAAGGTCTGGGGGGGTCAGACAGGCCCCTCACTCAGGGTCAAGGTCAAGTTTAACACGGAAGACAGAAAAGGAAGAGGGGGAGAGAGAGGGGAGAGAGGAGAGAGGGGAGGTGGACGACAGATTCAGTCGGCTCAAGTTCAAGGCCACGCACCGCCTCCCACACCTTGAAACCACTACTGTTTATTTGAGGTGTGTGTGTGTGTGTGTGTGTGCAGGAGACGCCATCGTGTCTCCGGGTGGAACGTGTAAAGATCCAGACTGAGCTGTTGACTGAAGGAATGATTAACCAGGACTGAGCTACGGAGACAGATGAGACAGATGATGAAGACCAGTCATCGATCTGAACACGATCATCGATCTAAACACGAGACATCAGCAAATACGATAAATATCGTAGTGATGTCGGTCACCGTAGGCCGCTGTCAATCATCGTTGTATTGTGTTGCGTTAAAGTACACGTAAAAAGGACACTGACTGTACATGAAACAGCACAGAGACCATGAA